TCTTAAAAGCCTATGTTTAACCATTATGCTATACACTCCCCTCCCAACACCAGCAGCTCTCATACAGAAATCTGTATGAGGAGGTGGAGGAGAGACAGAATGGACAGAGAAGATTCCCTGGGAAACAGACCTGAGTCTGAGATCTGATTGAAAGAGGCCAGGAAGGGATGGACGAGGGATAGAGTTCCTGAGAACTTCATCTACGAGGAAGCTGGGGAAGCAGAACTGAGCAGAGGGAAAGCTGAACCCACTATGCCAACTGGTTCTTTACTCTTCTAAAAGCTCTGGAGCTGGGGTAGCCTTTTTTTTTGTACCGGGGATCAAACTCAGGTCCTTGGATTTGCAAGGCTGGTGGCAGAACCTCTGAGCTAAATCCCCAGCCTGTTAGCCTTTCTCTAGTCATGCTGACTAGAGAAAGAAGTCCTGGCCTTTATCCACTCCCCATACTCCACTCAGCACTCACTGGACGGGTCACCTCCAAGGTGGGGGTGTGTTCTACAGCAAGATGGTGCTCTGCGAGAATGACTCGGGGAAGCACACGCTGAGAGGCGACAGCCACCAACACTCCCACATTTGTCCCCTCTAAGAGGAGATCTGAGTGGAACACCACAGCTACATGCAAGCATTTTGATTGTATAATTGGAAAGAACTTAAAATATATGGAAAGTAACAAATTAAAAGTCATTAAAATGGCAGTGCTATCATTTATTAGCTTCTTTTTGTAAAAATTAAACACAAGGATGTCGTCATACTATTCATACTATTCCAGCCATTTAAAAACAAGTGCTGAAACCTCAGAAAATTCAATTTATAGCTTCAAAATACCATGTATTATATATATTCATATTACTAATGATTCTCAAAACTGTCATAAGCAAGGAGCTTCCTTTTGTAGCAATGTCAGTGTGTGTGTGTGTGTGTGTGTGTGTGTGTGTTTGTAGCGGGGATCAAACTCCGGGTCCTTTCGCTTGCAAGGCAGGTGGCGGAACCACTGAGCCAAATCCCTGGCCCTTGTAGCAATGTCAGGCACTGTTCTAGGCACTCCTATGTGTATTAACTTATTAAATTGCCTCAATATCTCTGAGGTAAGTACTTTCATCGACTCCATTTTATAGAAAAAGAAATTAAATTCCCAAGAGGTTAAATAATTCAAGATCTACATAGCAATGCATGGCAGAACTAGGGTTCAAACCCATATACCAGGCAGGACTCTTAAATCACAGCTCTTACCAACCCAGTATGACCACCTCCTATATACATTTATTTCACATAGTATCTCTGACAGCCTTTTAACTTCTGGTTTTCGTTCCTTTAAAAAACGAGAGTAAAGTTGCCATTAACACTATGTATGCTAAATGATAAAAATAACTTCAAAGTTATATAAGGTCCTTTGAGATTTAAAGTCATTTAGATGCCATATAGTTTGTAAGAATAAAGTGACTTTATTTTTCTTTAAAGAATCAAGCTCATCTTCTTTTTTCAACATACAACAGGAAGCTTACAGATATCTGTTTGAAGAATGATTCTCTTAAGAGTCAAAGCTTCATGCTGCTGAGATCTAAACTCAAGAAAAAATTGCCTTAACGCTAATCCACCAGGGACCTGATCCCCTCACCCCGTGGTCCCCATGGAAAATTTAACTCAAATTCATTAGTATTCTGACAGCTAATTATTTTACCAAAAGATGAGTGAGTATCTATCTTCAAAATTCCTAATTTCTAACCTCAAAAATGACCTTTTCCTTCCCAGAATGATCATGGTACTTTCTACAGCCAAGCCCTTTAGAACCTGGGTCCCCAAGGAATACAGTATTGTGTGTCTGGGGAATGAGGCCTTCAAAAGGTCCAGAGGTCAGTTGTCTCAATAGATACTTTATTTGAAATGGAATGCATTTTGAAAAATATGAAAAATAAATCACATCTTTGCAAAATCATTGAAGAGACATATTTACACAAATTCTGACCACACTATTCGGTTCACAAACGTAATGGCTGGTAAAGCTTTTGGTACATAGTAGTGCTTGCTTTCCAGAAGCTGGTGTTTGCATATTCTGAATCTTTAAGTAGAAGGCTGACCATGGAATGTAACAGTATAATTTAACTTTTTCTTTTTTTGGTACCGGGGATCGAACTCAGGACCTTGCACTTTCCTCAGCCCTAATTTATCTTTCTTTAAAAACCTGCTCCCCGTAAGGGAAGAGTAAAAAGGGAAAAGAAAAAAATGTGAGAGAATGAAAAGATGAAAATAAAGTGTTTGTAGATGGGGAGGGGAGGAGGGGGTGAAGGGAGGGCAGGGACAAGGGGAGAAAATGAGAATCAAGACTTGTCATGTAGAGGTACAAGATCCCAACAATGAATGTAACTGTATTGTATCCCTAAAATGTACCAATAAACTCAATTAAAGCTGAAACAAATAAAATAAAAACCTGCTCCCCAATTTTCCAGCCAGTCACCAGCAGCCAGTTTCAGAGCACTGGACAGTAGTTCAGCTTTTACATAGATGCTTCTCATGTCCAGGAAATCCTTCATTGGGCAAGAATGCCCTTTTGGTTTTGTTTTCACAGTGCTGGGGATCAAAACTACCACCTGGCACATGCTAGGTAAGTGGTGTACTGCTGAGCTATACCAACCCCAAGAATGACCTTTCTAAGAAAGCTCTGTTGGGGTCTGTACTCTACTTGACAGACCACTTTGTGACCCAATCGTTTATAAATCTGGACTGGCTATTCAACAGTGCAGATCAAAAAGTCACTCTTCATGTCAAGAATTTAGAAAACAGTTCCTAAAAACTTACCCAACACTTTTCTACAATTAAGAGATCTTAGATAAATAGGTATATTTCTCTTGAAAGAATCACAGATCAATTCAATATCAATAATGTCCAAATTTAAAACAATCTACTGAGGGTATTTATTGGTAAAGCAAAAGGCAACAAGTTTTGCACTTGCAAACATACAAACAAGCAAATGCTCACAGGCCTCCCCTATCCCACAGATCTCTGTTTTGTGGAACTGCTCTGTGTTCACTGAAGTCCTAGGCCCTTCTACAGCTGTCACTGGACATTTAGCCTAACTAAATCCAATCTCTAGTCCAGAGAAAGAAAGCAAGTGAGGAATCTGAATACATATACTGTTAAAGTTGTTCACTGTCAGATTTTAAATCTGATAGCACTCTGTAGTGCTTGGTAGATGAAAGCAAAAAGTTAAAACAGGCCTTTCAATTGAAACCAGACTTCCTGCAGTGTATACCTGGAAGGGCAACTCCTTTAAGCAATACATAGGGTGGTTTTGTTTTCTCCCTTTTTTGAAACCATCATTAGAAAAATATGTGCAGTGAAATGATAAATTTGGCTTGACTCATACATGAACAGAGAATCTCAGCTTGCTCAATGAGGAAAACATTCAAGGGCTCCTCACAGACATTTACTCTATGACCTTAATACTCCTAGCAGAGCATAATTAGATCTTAATGGATTTCTGCTAAGAAAGTACACTTACGGAGCTTCATGATGCTGAGCGTATCCCAGGACTAGCTGTTCTCAGGAACATGAGAGCAAGTAAAGGGAAGCACTCAGTGAGGCAAGAGAAATGACCTCGGATCTCCCGGCTGCTGAAAAGCACACTTTTTTTTTCCTTCTTTCAGCCATTTCTCCCAACAAATAGTTACTGAGCCAACTGTGAAGGAGGCTGGGTGCCAAAACAAGTTTAAGGACGTTTCTTCAATTTTTCAACTTTTACATTTCATCTTCATTTAAGGTGTGGGTTATCTATTAACTCCTGCATTTTTACTCTTGTTCTTGGACTGAAAGTATTTTTATCTTTTTCTATAAAGCTGACTTGTCAGGCCTCACAGTACCACAGGGTTTGTATCACTTTAGGTAGGACAGGTGCTACTGGAATATTAAATGATGTGCATTTCTATTTTGTTTAGTTTTGTTGGGCATTCTTGGTTTTTTGCTCTGGAAAAAATTATTAAACTATAATAATTTCAGGGTTATTGAAACAAAAAGCCACCCTTTTTTAATTCTAGAATTGCACAGATAAACACTAAGACAGGGCCAAACCAGAAAGCCATTAAGAGGGCCCATTCCATGTAAATGTTACAGCATTAGGGACAAAACCAAAGAACAAGAAACCGTGATTCTGGCAGCCCATTAAGAGTCATGGCTATTGTTGTTAAACAAATAAACAAACAAACAAAACCTTCAAGCAGAAAAGAGAGAACCTGGGCATATTTTTTCCACAATGAGATTAGCTTGTGCTATATACAAGATAACAATATACCTTTTTGGTCAGGGATTTTAGCTCAGTGGTTCCACTGACTGCTTCACAAGCGCAAGGTCCGGGGTTCAATCCCCGGTACCAAAAAAAAAAGGTGATACAAACAATATGCATTTTTACAAACCTACATTAATCTTAATTTTCAAAGTATTTGGTATGGATTTTATTTTTTGTAACAAGAGTTCAAAAGAAAGATTCACTAATTAGAAAGAGCTGTGGATTTATTTGGATTATTATAATCTGCATGTATTAAAACTACAATACTATGAGGCATTCCTTTAAAAAATTCAGCAGTTGTTCTCAGGAAGCCAAATCAAAGTGGATTTAAGAAATTTTTCAACCCAGCTGAGCTGTCATATATATATATATTATATTTTTAAATTCTGGCAGCAAGTTTTCACAACTGCAGCCTAAGTAGCCCCTAAAAGCAGGACTCCAGTTTCATTTGCCATTTGCTAAAGTTTTCATTTTCCCCACAACTTTTTGGATAAGAAGTATGACCTCAAAAATTCATCATTTAAATTTCATTGAAATTTTTTTTCTAGATTAACTGCACACCTCAGCAGTAGTCCAATAGTGACCAGTCTTCTTCACCCCAGCCCACCCCGACACCTGGTACTGGTAATTGAACCCAGTGCCTTCACACTAAGCTACATCACCAGTCCTTTTCTTCTTTTTGTTTCGAGACATGGTCTCCCCCTAAGTTGCCCAGGCTAAATTCAAATTTTCCCTCCTCCTGCCTCAACCTCCAAGAGCACAGAGATCACAGGCATGCACCACCACACCTGGCTTGATCATTTCAATATGAATGCTAGAAAAATACTGACCAAGACTCTGTGAAAGACAATGAAAAACAAAGAACCATTAGTAAAGCCATGTGGAAAGGAAGTGATTTTCAGGCCCAGGAGAATTTGGGATCATCTATGGACCTTTTAAACTGAAGTAGCATCTGCCTTGAGGATTCTTACATCCTTTTGATTTCACACAGAAGAGGGTTTGTTCTACCTTTAAAAGCACATCCTCTCCCAGACTACCCCTTAGACTCCTGAACAAGTGACTGCTAAAACAAGACTGGGGTTGTTTTCTTACTGAAAATCCATTGTTTATCCAGTCCTTCCTTTTTCAATCTCTGAGCCTAGCTAATCTAAAGAAACAATACATCTCTAAAATTTCTCACAGAACAGAGAAAAACAGATGGTTTCGAAGATAAACATTTTCTGCGCGGAAATTAAAAAATCATGACTCCTAGTCCATTGATATATTTACAAACTGTATCTTAAACTGTAAGATTCTTCAGTGTTCTTCTAGAACAAAGTAAACAGGTCAGAAAATATGGTTCAAATCAAGTGTGCAAAGCTCTTGGTAGAGGATATTTTAGTCTGGAAAGGGGCATAAACACTCTCAACCTAAGTTGAATTATTCTGTTTCTGCCCACTACAATTGTGAACTAAAAATCTACTGTATTCATATTCATAAGTCACAATCAAAAGGTCTTTTTTTCTTTTCATTCTTTTTTTCCCCCTTGGTGATAGGGGTGACACTCAGAGTCTGGCACTCTCACGCTAAGCTATGCATCCAACTCCAAAAGGACTATTAAACGTTCACACACGATGCTCCTACAGTAGACCCAGTTCTACCACATATTCAAGACACAATCATCTTGGTCTCAATCAGGTTGTATCTTAAATATTTTGAAAGTAGGTATCATTACTACTGATTTACTTTTAGAAAAGTGTTATTTTGAGCATTATAATCATAATTACACATTTTTGAGCTTTTAGTTTTAAAAAAATTACAGAAAATATGGATTTAAGGAAGAAACCTCAGAGAAAAAAAATAGTATCAGATTTTAATTTCAACCACCTGGCATAACAACGAAAGTGTCAGGCCTTCTGAAAATGCCCTAGGAATACTGAATGAATTCTTTATGTTCTCCCCTCCACCGCCCTTTTTTCTTCCCAAGATTAGAATTTACTAGGGGGTGGGTTTTTAACAATAGTCTCTTTTTTGGAAAATGGCCTACATTCAGAAATGTCTTAGAACAAACATTAAAAAAACTAATAAATAATCATAAACCAACATACGTTAAAATAAAATTACAGTACATCATCTCTCCTAGAAGGTCCACTATGTTATAAGATCCTTTCAAAGGTTCCTAAGTAAAGTCTTCTCGACTTAGAATCGCTTCCTGCACGGTGATGACGAATATGCAGAAAACTAAGGAATCGCAAGTTATCATTCAGGTGATGTTCAAACTACTTGATCTGCAGCGGGACAGGGAGACTGTTTTGTTTTGATCCAAGTGAAGACAATGGAATTGTGTTCGTCCCACTTCAAGTCCTCAAAACCTGGAAAGAAATGACACTGAATGAAGTAGGTGGCTCAGAATCCACCAAGACCCAGTTCTCTTCGGGCCAGGCAGGTGGACAAAGGGTGCTCGGAGAGACTCCAGGTCGCTCCCTGGTCGGGGCCCAGACACACAGTGAAAGGGCGCTGAGGTGCACACCAACGAGGGCTGAAGGGGAGGGAGCGGTCTTCTCCTCTGCTGAGCCTCTCCTGGTTCCGGCGTGCCTCTTTCCACCTCCCCAGAAACAGAATTTCTCACTTGTCCACCCAAGAGGTGAACGGTGGGCGGGATTCCTATTCTTCCCGACACCCGCGCGACCCGCTTCTCCCTCTGCGCCCTAGTGGCGAGGCTCTTCTTACCTGGTCTTGCCCGAGCGCAGCCCCCTTCAGGCAGAGTTGGAGGTGCTGCGGAGAAGCCGGTGGCCGTGCGACTGGGAGAGTGGCTGCGAGTGAGGCGGTTGGTGCTGGTGCGGTAGTGGGTGCGGATGCGGGTGCTGGTGTGGGTGCGGATGCGGGTGAGGATGCGAATACCCGTGGAGCTGCGGAGCCTGAGGCTTGGGCTGGGGCTGGGGCTGGGGCTGGGGTTGGGACTGGATCTGCGGCTGTGGGGGCTGCTGCTGCTGGACCAGGTGCTGCTGCTTCTGTCGCGTGGACTTGACCGCCAGGATGGCCTGACGGTTCTTGTACTGCACCATCTGCAGAGTGATCTCCGCGTTCCAGCCCTGGTCCTGAGGACACCGAAAGTCGATCTCCTTGCCCTCTGCCATCACCACAGTGAAGTACATATACTTGCCCTTGCGCTCCACGCAGTCCACGGTCTTCATGTTGGAAAAGTGCAATTCCTTGAGCTTGACCGGTGGCTCAAGGCCAGCGACTGCTGGGCAGCTGGGTTGGGACGGCTCGAGTGTCCCTGGACCGGGTTGTTGCTGCTGCTGTTGCTG